ATGGTGAAACCTGAGCACAAAATGCAACTTTTATTGATGGTAATATCATAGCAGTTCATGCATGCATGTTCAAAATGTTGTCCGTTACTTTGTAGGCAAAGCTTGACTCTTTCCTGTAGATTGTTCACTGCTCGCTTTATTTTTCTTCTTCTCAGTCGTCCAAACTCTGTGGCCCCATTTAATTCGAGGTATGATCTGGTATATGAAACAAATGAAATCTGATAATTCCAAGGCATACCTAAGAACTTCTGTTTTTTTCCAAATAACTAGGGTTTGGTAATGTGAATGTGTGACATATATACATTTTTGAAATCAGAATTAAAAACTCTATTCACCTGCGAAAAATCCAATATGGCGTCTATAAGAAAAAATAAAGTTCATGCTGGAGGACAAGAGACGAAACGCCATAATGAAATTATAATTATGCCAACTCGTAGAGGAGAAAGAGGGGCAATGTTGAGATTCAATTTATGTTGGAACTCAAATAAAGTTGGGAAAAAATAAAAGTGATTTTGGGATAAGTCTTCTGTGTGAAACAAATGACTATATGATCATTTCAAGGACTACCTAGGAAATTCTGCTTTTTCTGAAATAACTAAAGTTTGACAATGTCAATGTATGACGTATTACATTTTTGGAATCAGCATTGAAAGCTCTATTCATCTGTGCAAAAATTAAATATGGCGTCCACAAGAAAAAATAAAGGACAAGGGGCGAAACGTCATATTGAAATTCTAATTAGGCCATCTTATAGATAAGAAGAAGTCGCGATGTGAATGTGCAACTTATTTTGAAATCCTACTACAAATAAAGAAAAAATTAAAACGATTTTGGAAAAATTCGTTTTTTTCCGTCTCTCTCCTCTACTCTGAATTTCGAAACCATCTAAGAGGAATTTTGTTGGGTGCCTAAATACGCAACTTTGCCTCTATTTAAGCGACTTCGAATCTCTTACAGTTTCTGAGATCCCAGTGGTGAGGGTCGAATCTGAAACAATCTGTATACCTTACACACTGAATCACAGCATTTAATGAAAGTAGGTATTGTATTAATTGTGATACATCACCGACGCAACAGTCTTTTATCGTTGAACTGTAAGAATACCAAAAAATGTCTGTATCGATACCCAGTATAATAAAAAGGAATAATTATCTTAGAATTGTTTTGAAAATAATTGCACATGAAGCCTATGCTAAGCACATGCTTGGTATATAAATGCCTTTCATTAACCTAAATATGACGGCATGAATAAATTTTCAAAGTTCTTCCCATGCCGTCGTGTCAGCAGTGACTTCCCTATACAAAGTGTTTCATTGGGAACGAGAAATGTTCTAACCAAGGTTATGGATCACTAAGCGCTTTATGGTTGAGTATTTCACTTGATCCATTTCACAGCGATACTACAGCAACAACGGCATTATTCGAATATGAAGCTTGCCACGAAAATCGCAAATGAAACTTAGAGATTTCGAAGCGCGTGCATGACGCGGCACTGCGCATACGGCACGGATATTACGTATCTTGGAAAGTGACATTGTCGATTTTTTTTGACTTTATATTGGTTTTTTATGACATTATGTAGGTTTTTCTACAAGGTGTTAACTTAGCACTAGCTGATGGACACGTTGTGAACTCGTTGTACGTGTTGCCCGAACGTCATGAGGATTCAGTTATCAATGTTTGGCTGTGATGTGATGTAAAATCTGCTTCAGAGATGGCATTACTGGAGGTCTAAGCTGTAAGTTGTATACTACAGCTAGAAGGAAACTGCAATGCATAGGTGCATATTGAGGATCTGTGTGCTAATAATATATGTTGATGATAATTCCATCGGATTCTTGTCTCAAACACACTTTCTTGAGATTCAAAGTTAGAAATTAGTTGGGCATCCACTTTTTCTTATATATTCTGGAAATCACATATGCAAATTTGCTGAATTTAAAAAATGAGAGATAAGAAAAAATCCCTGGTTGGTGAAGGCACAGGTGAGAAAATATTTTCAGTCATTTGAATTTTATAGAAATTTATTTTGCAATGTGTAGGTGTGAGGCATTGCGAAAATGTTTGATTTATGATGCTTCATTACTAATGTTTCTGTGATGTGGATTAATAGCACATAACGCGGGCGCGGTGGCGATTTATCGTAGTGCTCCTCAAAGTTTTTGAAAACACAAAAAAAAAACGTAGAAAAATCGTAATTTATAACTTTGAACGTAATCTGGCTTCAGAAAGGACAACATATCAATAACCTGTAGGTCACAGCTGATAGATATACATATTTCACTGGCAGCATATTCAGTAATGATTTTCTCACACAGCAAATATCACTGATTTTATACACATGCAAACCAATACACATAATAATCCAGATGCGATCTTGCTATTCAACTAACTTTATTTGTTTCAGATCTTCTCGGAGATGAAAACTACAGACTACTCGGTTTCACAAAACATGTAACCAATAATGTGTGTAGTTGAGTCATTCCACCATAGATGGACGCTCACAACGATCCTAGTGAGCAAACATGAAATGACTGTTTGTATCTTAAAAACTACCTAGTCTGTAAGATGATATATTAAGACGTTTTATAGGTTTTTTACATCCTAGTGAGCAAACATGAAATGACTGTTTGTATCTTAAAAACTACCTAGTCTGTAAGATGATATATTAAGACGTTTTATAGGTTTTTTACAATACCCGAACCGATCATCCAATGAGAAGGCAAGTCTTACCGAGTCCGCGATTCAAATAAACAGTTTAACTGTTTTTATTAAAACTTTTAACTGTCTTATATACCTTTTCTACATAAACTAAATCACCTAAACTAATTAAACCGTTTAATAAAACAAGTAAATGGCTTGATATTTTCAAGCAAATTAGTTTGACAGTATATTACTTTCAATTATATTGGAAAATAGGAAATTCGTTACCAGTAATAAAAATTTTCCAGCATAATTGTCTAATAGACCACGTTTTCTCAGTGTAGGTATGCAAAGGATATCCACACATATGTACATAATATATATATCTGTTGGTTGTATATATTTATGCATTCAGTGGATATCCTGGATATTCACCATGGATATCTAATAGACATCCATTGGATGTTTGTGTGCTACGTCTGTCTCTGTCAGTTGAACGTGTCATGGCAGTTACGGTATTCCTTCAGCAATCGTATTTAGATTTGTACCTTAAAATAAATAACAAAGTCTGATCCTCAATTAAGACGATGCTTGGAAAGCAAAAAGTAAATTTTGAAGACTTCTCAAAACTTCAGTCTGTTTTTCTTGATTTTAAGTTCATTCAGAGGAGTAATCGACTTCTTTTTTGGGTATCACACATTTCTGCGCTTTTATCGATGTATCCCATTAGTTTTTTCCAAGACACAGCCACTACATTTGAGCTAGCTAGACAAAAGTGTAGCTTTGCACTCAAACCAGCCATTACAATTGACTTTTTACAGCTATATTGCTATGGAAATAAAAATTTCGAAGTGTGTCAAAAAACTTCGGTTCTGGGTATACAAATGTTAATCAGTTCAAAATGGGCATCAATACCTAACGTCCACCATCCAACCAACATTACTATGTTGTAGTCACCGTTCTTGGCGGTTACGTCATCAACGCCATATGAAATAAATAAACAGATCTAGTCTCCGTACCATGGGCGGATCTTAATCTTCAGCGCATCTGCTACTCTGCTACTCTCTCCAGAACGTATGAAGTGAGTGACAGGGGACCGCTGTTTTCATACTCCTCCTGGAAGTACTCTAATAAATTTGGCACGAGCTGTCGGCCTCCTCCATATTTCCGGGCATTGTACAATTTTATATTGAGGATTGACAACAGGACAACTCAACTTGTACGCCGATGTCCAGTAAGTTGTCACTCTGAAAAATATGATTGACGGGCACTCATACGTAACGTTAAAGTTTTCGAGACGGAGCACACAACTAAAGAACGTATGTTTTTGAGCTTACCGACAAATGTTCACACACAGGGGTAGGCTGCATGTGTATGTATGAGGGAGATGGAGATATATAAAGTGATACTGGTAGTCTTACTTTGACCCGCCAAGAACGGTGACTACAACTATACCAACATATACCTTCCCACTTTACGGGGTATCCGAAATTTAATAGCTACGTGATAATAGTATGTTTCGTATTTGACCAACCAGATTATAATTGCTGCAACAGAAGCAGCTTTTTTATTACCTTAGGACTTCTATGCTATGAGACAATTATGACTAATAGACATGCTATTGTTTTCAGAGGAAGAGAATCTCGAGACATTAGAATCGCTTTCACATCTGGATGATTTAATTAAAAACTGTCCGGGAAAGATTGTGCCAATAGCTTGAATAGGCTGACTCGGCTATTTTCTAATCTTCCTCACGTACAATTCGGAAATTTTGACACAAAGATATTGGAAAACCGTAATTTTTGTATACTTTGCTGAATGATCAACATTTTTGGGGTCTATAATAATGTTTTTCACCACGTTCTGACATGAAGTTTGAAAAGCATACAAAAACAAACCTTGGAAATGATCTAAAGCTGTTTTGTTTTTTACTCATAACATCACACTGCCATTTACACGATTTCCAAAATGAAGTAGCATTATCTACTATCACCCCACAGCATGCTAAACCCCAAATTTCATCCAAATCGGTGCGACCGTTTCTGAGTTTACGAGAGAAGAATAATTCCAGCACACCGATAGACAAACCGATGGAAATGAATCTATTGATGTGTCGTAGACACATGAATGATATCTATTCATGTGTCGTAGAGACAGCAAAGCATAGAAAAGCTATTATTTGAAATTATATTGTATTCTGTTGTGGTCACAGTATTTCCCTCCCTTATGCGTGGGGAAGTAAAAGATAACCAATCGTATATTTAGTATTTGTCCACCTTGAAGCGTTAATTGTAACCATAATTGCAAACTTAGATATGGGGCCATTCAGGAGCACTGCTTCAGTATTTGAGTTACTGAGTAGACGTATCCTACGCATGTAACGAGAGTTGGTTCACCGATTTGATTTCAAATATAATTTCTTATCCAGGCAAAGGAACTGAATGAACTGGATCACCCTGTATATTTAATACGCTTGCACTGGTCTGACATTCTTATAGGGAGTGTACTAGTTATACCTTGGGTACCAAGGCTAAAACTCACGGTATAAAACGAAATTCCCTCAAGAGGGGGGAGCATAAGTTCAGTTTACCTTTAAAGGTAAACTATAACACTACATCTTTCGATAAATATTTTCCTGATTTTTGAATTTGGTCAGTGGGAAGGATGATTTTCAGATACTTGGTGAGTATATTTTTATCACAAAGTAATTTTCATTAACAGCACTAGTGAAGGTCACCATGAATTCATTGTGTTTCACTTTTTTCGTGGATAGTCTAGAGTTCCATAAAGCTTTTCTTAGGTAGATCAACGGTGTCTTCCACAATTTTTTGTAAACGTCGGCGTACATTAGTAGCACATCCACCAAAACGTTTAGAGGAGTTTGTAAGCATCGGATGTTTATTGATTATTCAAATCATATTTAAATATATTTAATAAAAAGGAGATGGGAATTGACTTTCGCTATAACGTCTATCGGCCGGAAATCATTGTCATTCAGAAAGAGGTTGTCCTTGCATGTAATAAAGTACTGCTAATAGTAAATGCTTATAGATACCTCAAGTTCAAGTCAACCTTAGCAATTGCCTCTTCAACGATAATTTATATTTTTTTGCTTAATGTACAATTTGGTTGCAAGCATTTTTTTGAAATCAATATCACTGAGGTTCCCGATGGTTCTGACCTTCAATATACAGGCCCTGTTGCTGGTAGACTGCCTTTGGTTTCATTGTCCTGTCACTGATATCGCTATTTCCATCTGTTTGAATGTCACCTTCACCAATAACATGGTTTTTCAGGTTTTGATACGTTTAATTAAATGAATTAACTATAATAATAATTCTTGTCTCTTAACACAACTTAACTTGAATATTTAGTAATTACGATATAGTATTTCATCAACAAATCTCTTCATATCTAAATTTTGATGAACATGGCTTTTATATACTACTTTTTGAATTAATGTTATAGAAATTTTCTTTGAACTTTTGTGGTTTTCTCGTCATCTTTCCGACAGCTTGCGGAACAACATATTTTTAAAAGTTTGCGAGTTGCTTAAATATTATTGCTACAATTAGCATAGATATCAACTAGACATGTTGTTTTATTTATTTTAAAGATTATTATCTGCTTTACACTCCATCATTTCTTAGCTTGAGGAGTTTCACTTGGAAAAGTCTTGCAATCAGGAAAGTGAAAACCAATGAACATACCGCTTCCAGTTATTTTCACATACGAAGCTCTAGTTTTATTTTTTTTCTAGACTAACTACCCATCTTAATGGAACCACTATGCATTAATTCAGAATAAGTTTTATTATTATGTTGCAACACCCTGTACGCGTTTTTTCAGCCTACATACGGAGCCGCATTGCTGTGTGTTAACAAAGAATAAGCATAAACAAAGGTCATCTAGATTTTATCTCACGACTAAACTTGCCTGTATGTATAAATACCTTTCTCTTTGTACAGTAAGTTCCTGATCATATTAATTGTAAATCTCAAAGCAAATAATTATTATGAACTATACTGGCATAACCGGTAAACATGCATTAATAACTGTTATTTTTTGCTGAATAATGATTATCTGTCCAAAAGAGCTATTTTTTATTAAATGCTAATATCTATAGGCGCGAAAAACCAATCTATGTACCGGGTGTCCCACTCCTCATTTCTTGCATGACCTGTTAGAAAAATAAGTTATATACAAAAGCTGCATGATCTAATATAGTTTTTCGGGCAATGCCTTTTTTATACACAAGGTGAAAAGCGCTATAGGTTAGGGTCGTATTTTTCGAATGGTATATTCTTAGTGAAAATGCTTTTTATGGTTCTAAACGTATAATATGCGTTATTCTGCTTGTTTTCATTACTTTTGCCAAAATTTAAAATTTCATGTTTCATAAAATCATGCCCTATGCCAGATTCCATAGGGGCTAGACACTAACTGGTTTGGACTGGGATACACATAGATAAACGACGAAAAACTCAAATTTTTCCCCAACGTTTGAAAATAATCATGATAAATCATTAATATTCAGAATCAGAAAAAAGCAACTTTAATGGTCACTAAAAAATACAACTTTTCTGAGATGTATGTATATAAATAAGATATTATACGAAAAAATATACAGGGTGTCCCAGAAGTCGACGTCAAGCCGAAACCGGGTGATAGGCAAAGTCATAGCAGCTATCAGAAAAATATTTAAAAAAATTTTATGTATGTGTTTTGAAAATTATAGGTCTTTGAAAAAAATATAGAAATTTCACACCCTACGGCAGTCTGTCAACTCCTGTTACTACAAATATTAACTTTTTTGAATTTTATTTTCACAATGTAATGATGAATAATGCATCTTCAAACTGGTGTCTCAACCTTACTGCCCACTTTTCTCGTTCAGGAAAAATTGCCACTTATTTCCCAACCAAGTATTCCAAAGTAAAACTTTGCTCAACTTTAACTGGCTGTACTGGAAAAAAATGTACTACGAGAGTTTGGCAAGTAACCTTAAAAGTTGGCGCATTTAATAAGGATTCCAAAATGGTATAACACTTAGAAGATTACTCGTTAACTTATGCACAATTTTTATTTGAAGAAAAACTGATGAAAGTTTTTCAAAATTTCCTAATTAAACAGCGATCATGAAAACGCACAAGGACCCTTAAGGATAACTGTTTGCACAACAGTGGGCGTCAAAATGCGGCTGATACCACATACAGCGTGTTCAACCTCTCCTGCCCCGGGATTATGAGCCCCGAGTTGCTTTTTGTCGCACAATGTTAGAAAGACACAGGAAAGATCCACAGTTCTTTGAAAAAATTTTATGGTCGGATGAGACCACATTTAAGAAAGATGGGTACATGAACCTGCATAACTTACACGAGTGGCATGTAGGAAACCCACATTTGATGAGAGAAGATAAATCTCAATATCGCTTCAAGATAAACCATTGGACAGGAATTTTAAATGGTAAAATAATCGGTCCGTTTGAGTTCCCAGAGACTTTGACTGCTGAAGTTTATTTGGATTTTTTGAAAAATCATGTACAAAATTTATTGGTGGACGTGCCACTGAGTATTTACAGGGACATGTGGTTTCAGCATGATGGCTGCCCAGCGCACTATGCACTCTCAGTGAGAGAGTATCTCGATCAAAACTTTCCAGGCAGATGGATAAGGTGGTCTGGTACAATACCGTGGCCAGCCCGATCACCTGATTTGAATCCTTTAGATTTTTTTACTGGGGAACTGTAAAAGAAAAAGTGTATTTCAAGCCGATTCAAAATGTAGCTGAGCTACGGCAAAGACTATTGGAAGCAGCTGAGTTTGTTAATAACCGTGGATTCGCTCGTTTAATAACCCGATCTTTTTTAAGAACATGTCGAGCGTGTATTGCGGCTGAAGGAAAACAGTTTGAGCATTTGCTGTAAAGGTAAATCATCATCAGCAGCATTTTGACGCCCACTGTTGTTCAAACAGTTATCCTTAAGGGTCCTTGTGCGTTTTCCTAATCGCTGTTTAATTAGGAAATTTTGAAAAATTTTCATCAGTTTTTTTTCAAACAAAAATTGTGCATAAGTTAACGAGTAATCTTCTAAGTGTTATACCATTTTGGAATCGTTATTAAATGCGCCAACTTTTAAGGTTACTTGCCAAACTCTCGTAGTACATTTTTTTCCAGTACAGCCAGTTAAAGTTGAGCAAAGTTTTACTTTGGAATACTTGGTTGGGAAATAAGTGGCAATTTTTCCTGAACGAGAAAAGTTGGCAGTAAGGTTGAGACACCAGTTTGAAGATGCATTATTTATCATTACATTGTAAAAATAAAATCCAAAAAAGTTAATATTTGTAGTAACAGGAGTTGACAGACTGCCGTAGGGTGTGAAATTTCTATATCTTTTTCAAAGACCTATAATTTTCAAAACACATACATAAAATTTTTTTAAATATTTTTCTGATAGCTGTTATGACTTTGCCCATCACCCGGTTTCGGCTTGACGTCGACTTCTGGGACACCCTGTATATTAGATCCTACACTTTTTGTATAACATTTTTTTTCTAAACGGTCATACTAAATATGTTTGAGAGGGACCAATTTATAGCGAGACAGGGCAATTAAAAATTGTGGAATAAATCGTTCCCCATGGTAAATTGCTGGTTATTGAAGTCAGAACTTGCGGATAAGGATACGAAAAAAATGACAATCTGCCTCGGAAACTTTAATTGGAGCAAAGGTGCAAGAAAGTGGAGAGATTTTCCTTAACTTCCTTATTATGTTTTATAGAAACGATAAGTATGTTTATACGTATCCCTAAACCTCTGTATTTTTCCACTATCCAGGAAATATCCTTCAAGGACCTTTCCAGAACATCCCCGGATGTAGACGAAATTCTTCTGAACTTGCTAAGATTGCATAGGGACTATAAGTTAGAGCAATGTGTTATATTAGAAGAAATATCAAATTTTTATATGACGAGAAGTGGCCAGTCAATGTTCAAACGGAAAACTTTGCATCGAAATTGCTATGATGATTTGATATGTTTTTTGAGGGAAATAATTGTCATTGTCTGACGACATGATGCTGGCGAATTCCATTGGCCATTGGTGCGATTTCAATGACCCTCCTTCATTATATGGATTTCAGATATGTTTTTCCAAGACATACGATATTACAGCGCTTTTCAACTTGGTCACCTCCCTTCTTATTTATTGAATGTATCAAGTTAGTAAATTAAAATTCGTGATGATGAGGTTTAGGTATGGATACTGTTATCCTCTGTACGTAGAGGAAGAGAGATGTCAAGTTGACAACTAACACGTAGAGACGACATGTCATTTTTAGTATCATTCTCGTATATTTTACGTAATAAATTCTGTTTTGGAAAACCGTTTTATCTACGGGGCGATAATCCCAACGCTGAATTAACCTAAGCAGATACGATAATTTAGCGTGAAAATAACACTCAAAGGTTCCAAAACGGTGACTGAACATCATCTTAGAAGATCTTTTTAAATGGAATGAGGGGGCACTCGAGTGATACCTCGTTTTTCAGCGCTTTTCAAAATTTTATAACCTTAGAATAATAATTTACTACTACTAATCTTTCAATATCGATATAAGTGTTCTTTTTTTGGAAGGATCTATATGATTGCGAAATACCATACGGGAGATTCAGCTTAGAAAAATTGACAATTCTTGCAAACATATTAACATAACATACTATGACGTTTTAAATACCTATTGTAACCGCATGGGTATCATGTAAAAAACCTATAAAACGTCAAAAAACCCTATAAGATGTCATCTTGCAAACTAGGTAGTTTTTAGGGCACAAACAGTCATTCCGCGTTTGCTCACTAGCATCGTTGTGAACGTCCTTCTAAGGAGGAGTCACTCAGCTAAACTACACGCATTATTGGTTGCATATGTTTTGTGAGGCCAAATAGTCCTCGTCTATAGTTTTTATCTCTGAGAAGATCGCATCTGGATGATTATGTGTATTGGTCTGCATGTGTATAAAATCAGTGATATTTGCTGTGTGAGAACATCATCACTGAATATGCTGAATGAAGTATATCTATTGGCTGTGTCCGACGGGTTATTTTTATGTTGTGTTTTCTGAAGAGAGGTTATGTTCAAAGTTATAAATTACGAAAAACTGAGGAGAATTACGGGAAATCATCACCGCGCCCGCGTTGTGTGTAATTACTGTTAGCATGTATATGGCTTTTAATTCGACAGTGCACAGGGAATATAATTATTTCTTAACTCTCTCATTTTTGAAATTCAGCAAATTTGTATATGTAATTTCCAGAATGGATAAGAAAAAGTGGATGCGCAACTAATTTTTGGCTTTGAATCTCAAGTAAGTGTATTTGAGACAAGAACTCAATTTAAATATCATCAACACATACAACTTACAGCTTAGACCTCCAGTAATGCCATCTCAGAAGCAGATTTTACATCACATCGGAGCCAAAGATTGATAACAAGAATCATAACGCTTAGGCAATACGTACAACTAAGTGCTAACTTAATATCTTGTAGAAAAACCTACATAATGTAAAAAAAAAACAGCATAATGTCAAAAGAAATCGGCGTAATGTCACTTATCAAGATACGTGATACCCGTGCCGATTCAATGTACAAAAAGGCTTATCTTTCACAGCTTGTCAGGTCGCCATGTTACAAGACGGTGATTTTTTATTTCAGAGTTATAAAGAACTCATAAGGGGCTTCAAAATGAGCACATGACCCACCATTACATTGCAATAAACGGCATCGCCCTGAATTTTAGCCAGCTAACTTAACCCGCTCAGAAACTAAAAACGCAGCTGCTATCCGCTCTTACACACGCACGTGAATTAGATACAGGAAGACCGTTATTTGTGTTCACTTTTTCAATTCATAAAAGGATTAGGTTCAGCGCAATTTTTAAATTCTCTGAGAAAAAAATGACAGTTACGAAAATGAATAACAGAGAAATTAAACGGAATAAGTCAGTCAAACAGGCCCATACAATTAGTCCATAGACATTCTTTCCCTACCATACCGATAGTTACTGTTCATCTGGCAACGTTGTCCCTTTCCACATGTGCATAGCAGCGCCAAGTGCGGCATCTCTGCAGCGAGTTATCGTTCACTTCGTGCATGGTCCGTGTATATGTTGTTCTGCTACAGTACAGATAGATATTTTGTGAGGTAGACTCAGCCGGACCGGTTCGGCGGGCGGTAAGCTTAGATAGCAAGAGTACACGGATCGAAAACATTTCTCTGGTCATCCTTAAAGGCAAACGAACTGAAAAATCTATGATGTCTGAAATGTGGCTGATAGATGCTTAGAGTTGTCGAGACTGGGAGCGTATAAATATAATATAAATATCAAAAAATGTCCATATGCCCTCCCTCATCTGCCACAACCGCCCGCCTCCCATTTTTTACCTAAATGTTTTTATGTGTGACCAGGGTCTTCTGAAATTTTTTTCGTCTTTGGCCGTTTTCTCCGCCACCACTGGACCGATTTCCAAAAACTACAGTGTTTTCGTACTTGGCACAGTCAACCTTGTGTGAAAGTTTCATCAAAAGCAGACCCGCAGGGGTATTATGTAAAACATTTAAAGGACGTCCAAATAAAACTGCAAAATCTTGCAGACTAGGTAGTTTTTATTGTACCAAATAGTTCATTCCGCGTTTGCTCGCTATGATCGCTGTCCGCTGACGCTTAGGCTTCGTACAGCTAAAAACGAGTTCACAACATGTATACATCAGCTTGTGCTAAGTGAACATCTTGTAGAAAAACCTACGAAATGTCAAAAAACAACCGACAAAATGTCACAGAGGATTCATCCTTAACGAAAGTACTGGCATCTTGCTTTTGGATGTCTTAAAAGCATTTGACAAGGTGTGGCACGCGGGCCTCCTCTATAAACTGATTCAAAAGGACTTACCTTTTTGGCTTCTAAAACTAGTAAAATCCTTCCTTGAAGGTAAGAAATTTCGGATCAAAATTAACAATGTCCTGTCGACAATACGGCCGATTACAGCCGGCGTCTCTCACGCTTCGGTCCTTGCACCTATCCTTTACTGACTGTACATCCATGACGTCCCTAGCCCCAGCAACTGTGAAGTCTATCTCTATGCTGACGATACTGCATTGGTGGCTCAGTCTTGGTCTGGTGACCTAGTCCATGACAGGCTGCAAACTGCTGTGGAGGAAGTATTAGATTGGGCGGATCGGTGGCTAATTAAAGTTTCAATGAATGGACTTCGTATACCATGGCAATCCTCCGTTATGTATCTCGGTGTCATTCTGGACAAAGACATGACTTGGCGGAACCATATAGAAGCGCTAAAAACTAAATTCCAAATTACATTTCGACAACTTTACCCATTTTTATGTAAACGTTCAAAATTAAGTTTGATTAACAATATTCGACTCTATAAGGTGGTCATAAGACCAGCAATGACTTGTGCGGCTTGGTGTTTCATTGCTAAAACAATGCGAAATCTGCAGGAACTGCAAAGCTTGACGTTGCGCAGTATTGCTGACGCCCCATGTTATTTCTCTAACGGAACTCTACATAGAGACCTCGATGTCCCTTAGCTAAAGGACTACATTAAGCAACAGGCGCAGCTGCGCTATAGCCTAGCGGAATCGCACAGCAAACCCTCTGTTCGAGCAGGTTCGCAAGCACAAAACGCTGCGGCCCGTACTGTAATCAAAATTAATTCGTGAACTTAGAACAACCAGAATTGGAGCATTTTGACAAAATCTTTAGAAAAAATCGAATATTTTTAGACCATATCAAAATCAGTGAAGTGATTTTAACAATACCTAAACGCTACCTATCCTAACAGATTCTCTTCTTCCCCTTTGCTCTCGTTCTTCCTTATCTCCTTTCCTTCCCCTTTTTCCTTAAACTTGTCTGGTTTCTGGGTTACCAGACCTGACAGACTTACAAACTGACACTGTGCTCAAGAGCTAAGGTCCCACGGACCGCTCTGACAACCAACGATGACTTGACTTATCTGTGCGGCAGGGGCATTACGTAACTTCAAAGTGACAATACGTCGGTTTTTTGACATTATGTTGATTCTTTGACATTATGTAGGTTTTGCTACAAGATGACAACTATAAATTAGGTGTCGTTCACTTCATGCTCACTTGTAGCAGGCGTAGAATGAACTACTTGCATACTACCAGGTATATAGTCAACAACTTGACATTTAATCGTTTTTTTAACAGTATATAGGTTTTTTACGTAATAACCCCGCGGCACCGGTATTACTTAACTTAAAAAGTGACATTGTGACGATGTTTTATGATATTATGTAAGCTTTCCTATAAAATTTCAACTTTGAATGAAGCTGACATTAACTTCATGCTGATTTGCGGGCGCGGAATGAACTAGCGGCGCGCTAGCGGCTATCTAGTGGAGAAATTGACAGTTTAATGATCTTTATGACAATGTTGCGGATCTTCCCAATTTATAGACGGGCTAAGGATTAACGGACAGGCAGACCGACAGACATACTGAAATTTGCACATTGGCACGCCTAAATGTGGAAGATTTATACGTTTACGAAAAAATGTTTAAGGCGATGGAACAAAACTAAAAAACGTATGTCTGTGAGCTTACACAAACAAACATCCACGTTTAGATGACGACTGCTTTACATAATGTGCGAGGGAGATGCATGTATGAAGGTTTTAATTTTGCTGTAATCGGTCAAAAACTGGGAAAAGACATTACACACTTTATATGACATGAAGTTTCGTAATACGCATAAAACATTACAATTACTTCGCAAACCATGTTTAATATGGTTGGATTATTGTAACTGTGGATGACTTGGATAACTGAGTGATTAGTGCGTCGAGCTGTATTCGGTGGCCCCAAGGTTCGCGGGTTCGAATCTCTACCTCGGAAGTTATTTCTAAGCCACGGATGTTGTATTGTGTGTTGTCTAATCACGCAACAGATCGGTGCAAGATCAACATACATCGCTGGAGCTGGACTGTTCGATAATCAGTTACCAGTAGATGGCTTGTGGGGTAGTGCAGGGTTAATACTACGGGGTTGGCTGAAAGTGTCAAAGGTGGCTTAGTTGTCAAGCCTTGCCTCCCTATCGCTACTAGTACTACTGTGTAACATATGGCGTACTGTAGACTGAACTGTTATCGAATAATTTCTCTTTCCCTCCAGATACCAAGTCTCTGCTTCATAGCATCTACGGTAGTATCCCAGGGTTACCAGGGTGATCCAAGGACTGCAGCAATTATAGCTGAAGATAGGTACCTCCAAGCTGACGGAAGATTTGGAGCACAGTATCAACAAGAAGATGGAGTTAATTTCAAGGAGGAGAGCAGTCCTGATGGTACACGGACTGGATCTTATAGCTATGTAGATCCCAATGGTCAAAGGTAAATGAGAAAAACCTCTTTTAGATAAGTGCAATTTTCACAATTACACTTGAAACTGATTCTAGGCTGGTCTTTCTAATATTGGAGACAATGAGGTATCATGTTATCGCTTTCCATTAATTCATGTTTCATTATTGTGTAACAGTTTTGCACAAATATGCCTTATGCCAACGTCGAAACAATTAGCAAAAAATATAAATATCCCTAACCCCTCCTTTGTATAATGTTTGAGTTCTAACACGTACGACTACGTAACAGTAAGCTTGGGTTGTGCTGTTAACACTCTTTAGCAATTGAGCAAGAAGTACAAAAATTGTTGAAAAAGATTATAGTACTTGAGCGTTTTTAGATGATGCGCCAACTGAGCAAACCATATTTTTACTCACACATTCTATGAATGTGAGGTATGTGAAATTTAATTTTATGGCGTACCAAGGCATCGTTATTCAGAATTCTGAGAAGATAATTTGTTTGACTCTACTCTTTGGGTTCTTTGAATTCTCATTGATTTTTTCTAATAAAGACAAATTTGAAACTACGTTTACTCATATTATTATGGAGGGTCTATATTAACAGTATGGTTGACTCCATTTTTTTTATTTTCCTGTAGGCACACAGTCTCCTACACAGCAGGCAAACATGGCTTCATGGCTACAGGAGACGGCATTCCTCAACCTGTTCCCACTACCCTCCCTGTAGCACCTCAACCAAACTACACTCCCTTACCCCAATACAACCCTCCAGAATATTCACAGCCTAGAGCTCAATACCAACCTCAGTATCAACCGACTCCAGCACCACAGCCTCAATACCAACCTCAACCTCAATATCAGTCTCAACCTCAATATCAACCGCAGCCTCAATACCAACCTCAACCTCAATACCAACCTCAACCTCAGTACCAACCCCAACCTCAGTATGAGCCTACCACACCACCACCGCACAGGTTCTACCCTCCAGGAAAGCTGTCTTTGAATAGATCACCAGATGGTTTTCAGTTCAACTTCAGAAAAGCTTAAAAGTAAATATTAGAAATTTTAGGTGCTTTTCCAATTTTTTGAATACTGTCGGAAAATACAGGGGTTTTTGGAGTGTAATCGTGCTATAGCTTTGTTAATAATAATAATAAAACGTATTTGAAAGAGCTGTTTACAAGAATTATTGATAAATATAATGTATACTGGAAATATATTTATAAATATATACTTGGAAAATAGACTTTCTGCAAGGTGATTCACAACTACGTGCCGACAAACATATGCATTTTTTACACATTCTGAGAGGCTCCTTCGAAGGGAGATGCTTGATGGAGCATTCTATAAGGTTTGAATCCCCACTCCTCTACGGGGTGTTTTGCCAGAAAAAACGAACAAGGTTGTTTCTTATGACGACATAAATATCTCGTAAACAAGTTTTTTAACAGACAAAATATTCCCTGACTTCATAGGTTCTAATCCAAAACCGACAAATCAAACTTCTTCATTTATTTATGTTGCCACGTAGTTATAAATCTTACCCTGTAGAGTTCGGATATTTTTCGAGTAATGAGTGTACTACAATTTTGTAGCTGACTTTTTTTGGATATCTTTCAAAGTAAAGAAGCTATCGATATCGACGAATTACAAACTAAAAACACCTGTATATTTTTGTAGTCTATTTCTTTCTGCCTTGTGGAATTTATGTTTCTGATTGTTAAGTTGTCTTTGAAATTCATGTCTTTTCTAATATTTCCATTTACTGTTCCTTATTAACGGTGATAAAAACAATTTAGGATAAAAATGTTCTCTTCAAATAAACCTTTCGCAAAATTCAAAGGTATGCCTGTGATTTTGTAAGAGGCTCTAAAAGCTTAAAATCAAATCTAGCAATGATTACAAAGATTGTCATTAGCCTATTTTATTTTTAACGCACTTTCATTTTCAAACTATCTGAAGCTTAAAGAAAGCAGAATTGACATGACACACATGACTCATTGTTGGATTTGAAGATTGTGCAGATGGTTTCTCCTATCTTGTTTATTGTGTTATTTATGTAAATTATGAAAAACTGTTTTTTGTATTTTTGTGATAAATAAAAAGTTAACATAACGTATATTGTATTATTCTATAGTTACTCGTGCCTATGCGGCTTATTTGTAACTATGCTCCTTCCCGTTTTCTTGATTTTTGGGAAGTGTGATCATGATAAAACCTCTATCTGTATTCAAGAATTGGATCTCAAATGGTAGTAATTTTTTTACACATTGTAGGTGAAGTAAGGACTCAAAATAGATACACGTAGCCTTGAGTAAAATGTTTCTTACCAATTCGATGTATGAGTTCCGACCTGGGGCTTGATTCTAAATGAGTTTCGACCGTTGAAATTGATTTCGAGAGCGCCTTGTGACGATATCCGAGTTTTTTCTCTATTCTGTAATCATTGGCGTGATAGCCGATGTTCATAAGTAATATCATAAGAGCATCTACTATTCCGAAAAAAATCGAAAAAACACATTGCACGAATGTTCTATGTTATAAAAAATTTACTTAGCAACGCGTTTATTCGATTTTTTTTCGGAAAAAACTGCTCACAGGTGCTGTCATACAATTTTTCCATCTAGAAACTATTTGTAATAAACGCTCTGTAAGAAGAAGGGTTTTGACAACACTGTCACATTTGCGAGCTTAAAAGTTTTTACGAGTTTGTTGGAAAGAGAGAGGTATTTTAATGTGGAGGTTGACCCAAGAGGGTTCAAAGAGGAAAGAGTACCACTGATAATGGGGAAGGAGCTGACCGGCGGCAAATTCCGTTCAAAAACTGAAAGCATGGGCCCATTGACGCAGATGTCATCGGAGAAGAAAACCAACGAGAAACTGATGATGGTTATAGACGACCAGGTGAGGCAAATCCGAGAACTCATGCAGAAAATCTAGGACCAGACGGCTACAGAGACAGTTACGGACCATTACCGACGATCAATATACATCCACAGAAGATGACACACAGAACGACGGATTTATGAACGCAAAATCTAGAAGGAGGAGAAGCAGCAAGACTGACCGACGAGCCGAGGATTTTCCACCTCTTCCAAATACCGAATCCACCCTTTTACGCACCTCCTCCACTTTATCAAAACAAAATATCAGTAACACTATATGTACTACCAAACCTTTGTCATCGGTTGGCGGAGGGACTACACTATCTATCTCTAAGGTCACTCCGTCGGCCAGTGCCACTTCTCCTCAACCATCTCGCTCAGCCGACGTGGCATCAAGCCAACCTTCATGCCAAAGGCGCGTAACCTCTATTGTTCTACGTGATGGGGCGAGGTGGCGTACGTTAAACTACAAATTCATTTCCCTAGGCATTAAAATAGGTCGCGCGGTTGCTGTCGATGCGGGAATAAGGATTATTCCTAAATCTGAGGAAGACTATAGTAAGATCGTTCAACTGTTCCGAGAGGAAGAAGTGCCCCATCACACTTTTCCTCTCCCTTCGGAACGGAACATCCACGCGGTGGTTCGAGGAGTTCCCGTCAACTTTTCGAATTCTGAGATTAAGGAAGAACTTGAACCGAGGGGACATAGCCCTCTCCATATTATTCGATTGAGGCGCAGTGGCGGTGCGACCATGCCTTTGGTGGTCGTGATACTGCCCAAGAGTGAAAAGTCCCAGCAAGTATTCAATGAACACGAACTGCTGGGACTGGCCATTCGCGTTGAGGTTCAGAAGAACTCCAGACACATTGGGCAGTGCCACCGCTGCCCAAAGTACGAGCATGCGCAGTCATACTGCACTGCACCACCCAAATGCCTAAAATGTGCAAAGGACCACATGACGCATTTGTGCCCCCTCACAGGACAGGAACAGCACCAGTGTGCAAACTGAGGAGAAGGCCATCCCGCAAACAGCCGACTTGCAAGTTCACTCCAAGGAGGAATTTGCAAGTTATAGCGCAAAGGCGCAACCTTTCATACGCGGATGCAGCTAGAGAAGCAACCTTGTCTGCCCCCTCTGCCCAACCTACCTTGAACGAGCAAAATGTGGACCTGCCAACCGCGCTAAGGTCCTTACAACAAATAATAAGTCCATTGATCAGCGCTACTCCATCTTTGCAGGTGATCTTTTCTCTAAATGGCTAGGTACAATAGTCGACAGCCTGTATTTCTCAAAATTTTGTTTTGGAATTGTTTGGGCCTAGGCGACATTCCCAAAAAACGGGAACTTCATCAAGCTCTTTCAGATGATGGTGTAGATGTAGCCTTGCTGCAGGAAACGTTGCTTAATCCGGGAGATCGCCTAGCTCTCCCTAATTACGATGTTAACCGTGCTGACAGACTGAATAGTCGAGGTGGCGGTTTAGCAGTGCTGATTAAACGCGGTTTTGACTATTATAGAGGCACGAATGCAGAGATGCATAGCATCGAAGCAGCTTCTGCGGTGGTCAATATGGCGGGAGGTGTCCCGTAGAAGATCACATCGGAGTATGTCAGGTGTGGTGCCAGGCTACAAGAGGCGGATCTGGAAGTCCTCCGGGTATACTTATTGTGGCAGGAGACTGCAATTGCAAACATCGAGCATGGAATTCCAGGTTGAATTCCACTAGTGGGACTCTACTGTACAACCATGCGATACGAAATGGTACCTTATACCTAGCACTGAAGAGCCGACACACCATCCACTCAACCATCTTCAGGCACCACATGTCATGGACTTCGCGATATCTAAAAACAGTATAGATACAGAATCTCTTCTCGAATCTTGTATATGTCTAGTGATCATCTACCTGTTGCCTTAATGTAGGCAATGAGCAAACTTGTGAGGAGGAAGCTCCTCCAAAAAAAAAGTATTGATTGGGTGCTATGCAAGTTGTTCCATAGAGAGTTTCCCAATATCCCGATCATAGATGATGATACTGGAATAGATGCCACCCAAGCGGAGTGGACAAGTTTCATTGAAACAGCTCTACAGCGTGCAGCTGAACTTCCTGTCAACTACACGTCAAATCTTGCCTGCGGACATTCGTCAGAAAATTTCTGACAAGAGAGCCGCTATTAAGCAGTCAAAAAGATCTTGCCATTCTGATGACATTAGTAGGGCTACGAATCTTGTCCATGAAGTGAGAAACTCGCTCCATGAATTCCGTAATGAGCATTGGAGCGACTCACTGGCGGGAGTGCTTGATTCAAGTATTCCTTTCTGGAGGGTCGCAAAGTCACTCAAAAACGGAAAGCGAGAACAAATCCCGCACATATAAGGTCCTGAGGGCATGGCCTTCCAACTATGATCTTGATAATGACCTCGACGAGGAACAACACATTGTAACATCCATCAGGAGATATTTTAGGGCCAACGGCGTTAGCGGAGGCACTGTATCCTCTTCAGATTACTCTTCTTCAGAAGATTCGTCTGAGGCTTGGCATACCACATTAGAGGAACCCTCCGAGGTTACATATTGCACTCCAGCGGAGCTCCTAGGTCTTATTAAAGACCTCAAGGAGCGTAAAGTACCTGCGGAGGATCAAATCACCAACAAGGCGCTGAAGCTGCTCTCGCCAAAGCTCTGACATATTTGGACAATAATCAATGCGATGCTTAGACCAGCACTTTCCTGCGGGGTGGAAGACTGCTGAGGTCATCATGATTCCAAAGAAGGTGGGTTCGATATTTCCTCAGGATTACCGTCCCATTAGTCTGCTGTCAGCTCCTTCTAAGCTCGCCGAAAAGGTGATTTATCGCCAGCTTGAGATTTTTGACGTTCAATACGGTTTCGGTCCGAGCATAGCACCGAGCTACAGGCAGTCAGGCTGGTAGAAAATGTAACCAGAGGGTTCACCCTCAGCATGAGTACTGGCATCTTGCTTTTGGATGTGTCCAAAACCTTTGACAACAGGTGGCACGCGAGGCTCCTTTATAAATAATCCAAAAGGGTTTTCCTGTTTGACTTCTAAAATTACTCAAACCTTTTCTTGAGGGAAGGAAATTTCGGATCAAAATTAACAATGTTTTGTCAACAACACGGCCAGTACGGGCCGGTGTTCCTCAGGGTTCGGTCCTAGGACCAATCCTTTATTCGCTTTTTATCCATGATGTCCCTTGCCCCAGCAACTGTGAAGTCTACCTGTATGCTGACGACACTGCGCTTGTCGCCCAGTCGTGTACTGGTGATCTGGTTCATGATGGGTTGCAGAGTGCGGTGGAAGAAGTACTAGAGTGGGCGGAACGGCGACTGATTAAAATTAATCATTCGAAAACGCAGTCTATTTATCGTACCAAAAAACGTCGCGGCCCCCCAGCAGAGGTTTCTGCAGATGGCAATCGTGTACCATGGACAAATTCTGCCAAGTACCTCGGTGTCACCCTTGATAAAGGCATGTCCGGGCAAAAACATACAGCAGCCTTGAAAACAAAATTCCAAATTGCGTTTCGGCAACTATATCCTTTGTTATGTAGATCCTCCAAATTGAGTTTGATAAACAAAGTTCACCTATATAAAATGATTATTAGACCAGCCATTACTTATGCATATGCAGCTTGGTGTTTTCTTGCCAAGACACACATGCAAAGTCTTCAAGTACTGAAAAGTAGAACCTTGCGAACAAGTAGAACAAACGCTCCATGGTATGTCTCAAACGAGACACTACACAGAGACCTTCACATTCCTTACTTGAAGGACCATGTCAAGCTTCAGGCGCAGCGACGTTATAGTCAAGCGGAATCGGACAGCAATCCTCTGTTGCGCGACTCAGTGGACTACATAGTAAAGCAAGTTCGTAAACATTCAAGGCCACGGCTCGTACTGTAATCAAAAATTAGCGCGAACTAGTAAACTTAAAATTACACTCTAACAAAACCGAATCAAAATTTGTTTAGTTCACCTCAAAATTAATCCGTGTACCAAGTCAAAAAGCCTAGGTGTTTCCTCTTAAACTAAATACTTCTGTTTTTCTTTGCACTTCTTTTTTCTTCTCTTTCCCTTTCTCCTTTTCCTTGACATTGTCTGGTTTCTGGGCAACCAGGACTGACAGATTCGACTAACGTACATTAGACAGTGACTAATGAACAAATGTCCTACGTTCCGCCCAGACAAACAAATGACGAATAGCAGTACTATTTGTAATTCAAAATTGTGCGTTTGTGATTGGTAGAAATTAAGACGAGGAAAATAGTCAGTAAAGTTACTTGTCCTTTACATATAAGTCACAGAGCAAGCTTCACGGGCTACACGAACATTTGGCGATTTTACTGTTATTTCTACTTGATTCCTGATTTTATAAGGTGAAAAATTATCTTCATCAAACGGCAGCATTGGCGGTATTCCTGCTATTTGAAATAATGCCTTGAATTCTACTCGGTTTCCCTAAAAAGTTGTTGTGATCCGAGCATGAGATTCATGGTTAAAAGTAAATAGATAGTTGACCATAATATGGAAACTACTGCTATCATGTCATTGTCACTATATACATATATCAAATATAACTATTAGGAAGTAATTTAATTAATTTGGTCTCAGTTTTCCGTGGCGTTCTGAGTTTCTCCCATTGAATCTCGTCATACCGAAATGAGGTCGTGAGTTTGTCTTCTATACTTTTTTCCATGTTGTTGTTAGGTATACAATTCTGTTAGCAAACCCTAGATTTGGACTGAGCACTCAAACAACCAGCTGACTGAAATAAATCAAAACTACCTCTCAACTGTCCAGGTGAAAACACAACGATTGAGGTACACTCCTTTTACCAATGCCGATGACTAATAAATTAACACTTACCGATATATTATTCCGTTTAAACTTCAGTTTGTGTACCTCCTAATGCACATAGTTTGCACTGAGGCTGAAAGTGTACTTGACATAAGTCAATTTTTTGGCAGTGACGTCATTAAAGTCCTATTTTTAGGGTCATTTATTAAGAATGCATGGTACTTACTACATAACTTGCAAAGAACTGTACAAGCCTAATGTAGATAGATGTTTCTACCGGTAAGTATTATTATTATGTTGATACAACGCTGTCACTTTGGTAGGCATTGGTAGTCAAATAAGCCAAAAGTACGCTAATTCTGACGACAAACAATGCAATGTGAAGATATAGGCTTGACTTTTTCTAAGATATTTGTTGGTTGCCACCGACTGCCAATATATGTCAAATACACCAGGGCCGTTACTCAATAGTTACTTGGTTCCTCGTGAGTTACGAACAGAAAAAACATGGTCATGGTTGGATATGTCGGACAAGATCGCACCTAAGCCTGCTCGATCCTTGGACTAAAGCTATCTTCCCTCTAGTTGAGGTCCGTCAGACGATAAAACACAAAAACCTCGGAACTCTAGTCGATTAAATAGATTTATGAAATGCTCAGTGTAACACCTTTGAGGTACTGCCTATTAAAAAGTTTTTACCAATTAATAATGGGTGCTTATTGATTGTTAATTGTTTCAATTTTCTTCAAATTCCATCTTCTATATAAATAATAATATACCAGCCAGTACATCTCGTTAAACTGAACAAAAAATTTAAGTAAACCTATGTATACTAAGTGACATATAAATCCGAACACCCAGTTTAAATGGTTTTATTTTAATAAAATTTTGTATAAGTACTTAATGAAGCATAATAAGTAAATGATTGCACTGCTTTAAAGCCCTTTGACCTTTAATAATGTGTGGATGCACCCTGATGTGCTACGCATTCTCCAACGCGCCTAGGCATGCTTCTGATCAGGTGGTCAATGTCCTCCTGTTGTATCTCATTCCAGGCAACCACCAACTCCTCTCGAAGTGCTTCTAGAGTCTGAGGAGGACGTTGCAAATTGAGCAATCTCCTACCCATCATATCCCACACGTGCTCAATTGGGGATAAGTCGGGAGATCTTGGTGGCCATGGTAACAATGTGACATCATTATGTTGAAAGAAGTCTATTGTGACTCTTGCAATATGTGGTCGGGCATTATCTTGTTGGAAAGTTGGATCTGCCAGGGTGTCAAGATAGGGTAAAAGATGGGGTTCTAGAACTTCGTGGATATAACGCTGCGCGTTCATGTTACCTTTAATGAAGATTAAAGGTGACCTGGAACCATAAGCTATAGCACCCCAAACCATAACTCCAACAGTGTGATGAACATGTCTTTCAACAAAAAACTGTGGATTCCTCCTTTCACCACGTCGCCTTCTAACCCTGGCGCGACCATCGTGCATGCCTAAACAAAATCGAGACTCGTCACTAAAGACAATACTGTTCCATTCCTGATCCCAGAGTGACCGTTGTCTGCACCACTCAAGGCGATTACGTCGGTGTTCTCGAGTTAAAGGGAGGACCCAGTGTGGCCGGTATGAAAACAAGCCAAAACTTCTCATTCGTCGGTAAACACTTCGCATGCCAATAGGTCTTCCGTGTTCTGCAAACCATTCATTTGCAATGGACCTGGTAGTGGAGAAACGGTCCCTTAAGGCCAATAATCTTAGGCGGCGATCTTCACGGTCTGTTGTTCTACGGCGGCGTCCAGTGCCCCTTGCTCTTTGCGTACGGCCTTCTCGAAGCCATGCCTGACAACACCTAACCACAGTGTCTACACTTCTTTGCACTCTAACTGCAATTGCCCGAAAAGAAAGTCCAGCTTCCCGAAGTCCCACTATACGGCCCCTATCAAACTCACTAAGTTGACGAAATCGTACAGGTCTCCGTACTCTAGGCATCGTAACCGTTCGTAAAGGATGTCAAGAACCAAAATCCGCCAACGTCGATTATTTACTGCGGCTGAAATATTCATTTTTAGAGCGTTAGTGAATTAAAAAAAAGCAGTATAAAAACCGGAATGTCCAACTGATAAGGCTGAAAATGTTTTCACTTGTTATTTACAGTAAGATAAATACATTCACCAACTTTTATTAAAATAAAACCATTTAAACTGGGTGTTCGGATTTATATGTCACTTAGTATATTTTACGGATTCCTTGCTGAGATACAAGGTACTACCAGTTTGTTTCTAATATTGATATTTTTGATTTCTCCGTAATTACTTAAGTGATATATACGAAACTGTGAGTCGTCAGTCAGCACTTAGGTAGTTAATCTGTATTGGCTATATGCAAATGAATTATTTCCAGGGGTGGCACTATGGAAATTACTCGAAATAATATTTTCTTCTACTTGTAAACAAGTTAGTAATCTAAGAGTTTGCAACAAATAAATTTCGCTAAATAATGAAACTCCCAGAATTAAATAGAATTGTGGGAATATCCTCGGATTGTAATAGATTTGTTGATCAGGAGAGAACAAAAATAAAAACACCCACAGTTTTCTACTGGATTATATTTAGTATACAAACATCGGAATATATTATACATGACTTCATATGGATCAAAATTATTATACCAGATGGGTAAAGCTAGATTTTAAAACTTGTAGTTTTTGTTTTTGTGAGTTGAAAATCCATTTGATTTTAATAGCTGCAGACTAGGAATTTCTTATCAAAAGGCAAGCATATTTTTTTCTGTCTCAAACCTCTTTAATCATAACCATAAACCAACACGGTAAAAACCACTCAAGTCATTAACGAGAAATAAAAAATATCACTGTTAGAAGAAATTGACTTGAACACCCTGTAACCAAGAAAGGAAGCCGTAAACTACATAAGTTTCCATAATTTTTGTTCAGTTTTATGAGATCTATCAACTGGTACATTGTAGATCTGAATAATAGTATACATGGAAAATCCGAAGAATGGCCCAGGTGTACTTCAAAGCGTTCTTCACTCACAATATTTTTGTTTCATATACCTAGGGAAGAGTGTTGATTCATAAGATGATGCAGAATGTATTCTATCTATGCATGACAGTTAAAAAAAGCAACTTATTGTTAGACCAGAACTTGTTCTTATATCCAGGCTATTCAATACGGAAACCTAATCCGAGGGAGCACTAGAACTCTTTGAGTAGTATAAGGAAAGCTCCCGGTAAAAGCTTGGAGCGACATACAGGCCGACAGTCAGATCCATGGGAGTTCAATAAAGTTGGGCTCTAAAACAGGTAAATATGTTAGTTTCATGAACTTGGTGAAGAGGTGGTTGGTTCATAGGGTGAAGCACAAGGTTACGTGTTCATGTATGACATAGCTGAACAAGTAACTTCTTGATAGACCGGCACTTGTTTTGATAGCCAGGCTGCTCAATGCAAAAACTTCTGACGGTTCCCTGGATTTTTTTACTGCATAAGAAGATCTTCCATGTGCTGTATCATCCGGGTAGTTGTTTAGAGAAACTCCTGTGGAGGATGCACAAGGGGTGCAGTGTGTTGCAATCTTGAGCGTTCACCATCCTTCCGATGCTTTATTTTCGTATGTATTATCGCAGCAGCTTCAAGAATTCAACCCTACAAGGCAGCGCCTCACAGTTGCATGAGATGTGATATTTTTTGCAAGATTCACTTATTCAACAAAATAAAATGTTGTTGCAGTTCCACCGTGGAACCCATTTACCCAAATTTGGATTTTCGTATCTGTAGGTAAATCTCGAAGGTATGCGGATGACGCATTTTTTGCATCAGATAATTAGCAGTGGAAGGTATCACATTTTGGCGTGTCCATGTCCAGTCAGTAACCGACCTTCACAATCACCAGGTCGTTTTGTTGTATACAACACCCGGAGCAGAGCCTCGCCCATATTAACGATATGGCTTGGACAAATTAGATTCCCGGATTAATGAGTTTAAAGTATATTATTTTTTCTACGTCATCCAAATAAGTATTGCTCCAGAATCTAATCATTTGGTGTCCGAGGAAAGTTTTGGGAACGTTTTGAAAAACACCGCTACAGGATCATTCAGAAAATAATTGCAACGAGGTAGAAGGTAAGTGAAACAAATAAGAGTGAAGGTTCTTACAAATTAAGGTCTTAAAGTGCCTACTTACCGAAATACAAGCTGTTGAAATACTAATTTCGAAACCGATAAAATACATCGTCGGAGTGTGCTATAACATTGAATTAGAATGTTGTACATGTAGTACCAAAAGTCTAGCCAAAACACAAAAATGTTCATATCTGCTACTGTAGCACTGATGTGGACATCGGAAAATATGCAATTCCAGAGAACAAAATAAGAAATTATTATCTACGTCACTGACTTCATAGACAGTTGCATCTTTGTATAAGATGTTTAGTTTTACATAAACCTTTTTTTACACCGAAGCACCCGCGCAGGCAGAAGCCTAAATGTCAGGGCACCGTGGTTGCTATCAGGCGTCTAAAGAGGCTTTGTTGATCCAATTTTTGAACCGCCTAAGGTTAGTAGAACTGGAAAAAGCCTCCTCATGTAGCCTGTTCTACGATCTCGATACCCCAAGGACGAAGGAGCAGAGTATCTTCCAGTTCAGGATGTACGAAGTTCGACACGGTTAGGACGGGAGGTCCATTCCGATAAATCGCGAGGCGACACTTTTGGCGTAGCGGTTACTAAAGGGTCCCGAGACTGTCTGTTAGAGAAGAGTCATCTATCTGTCGGACAGCCCTTCTCTCAACAGCATGGAGCATGGATAACGTAGTCGGGGCTAGGTCTTATCTGGGCCTTGAATAATGTGAGGAGGGCATGAGGAGAAAAGTACTTCTTAGCCCTGAACAGATTCCTAGTATTCTCCCAGCAGCTGCCACTATTGACGACATGTGTTCGTGCCAGATCAAGTCCGTCAGACGCTTCTTGTTTGTCAAGGTACGGTGAAGTGTTTTGAAAGCACTAAGCTGTACAAGATTGTTGTTACCTTCAGGTCTCTCGTCAGAGAGGAAGTCGCTTATGGTGTCTTTTTCTCTAGCTAACCGGCAGAGATCGTCTTATCAGAAAAATGATGTTGGAGCCAAGACTGATCCCTTAGGAAAACCCGCATTGTCATTGTAGATCGGTGGTGCTACAAACTATACTCCCTGTCGATAATTAAGCTGTGACATTCGAGGTGTTTCAGAATCCCCCGATTTATGCACCTTTCCATCACCTTACAACAGGAAGCAGAGGCATGTGGTTGTCAGGGTCGGTCCTAGTTCCTTTTTTTGGGATGGGTTGGACATGAGCAAATTTCCAGTTTTCTGAGTAAGTGTCGGATTCATTAGATATCTGGAAGACACGCGAAAAAATTGCTGCGCATCTCTTCAATACAACAAATCACAAATCAAGTCCGGACGAGAAGCTTTGCTGATGTGTAGTGACATGAGCACCAAACGTCTTCCTTTAGACTGTTGATCAAACCTTTTAGAGAAAGACTGGTCTAAATATTTGAGGTAAAGTCTGTATAAAAAACTTTAACCCGTTCTACTTATGCTGGTCAGTCAGCAATGTTAAATACTCATGTTTTTTCCTTATTCGGTCTCTCCAAAATCCTGTATCTTGCTAATGGAACATGTCAGAACCTATGTTTAGAGAACCTTCTCTGTAATTTATAAATATACTGTCTACTTTGGAAATATTACCACATTTTTCTGAATCAGCCTGTATATTTCTCTCAAATTTCAGTAAGCTAACTGACAGGTTATTTTTTTTTTATCCGAACATAGTTTCGTACGTTTTACTGGTAATTATGAACAGTAACTTTTCTTTAAAGTCGACCGTTTTTGACTTATACGCGATCCAATGCCTGAAAAACCTTGCAAGTGGGTATTTTCAATGCTTGAGCATTCGGATAAAAATTATTGACTTGGGTATAACCAAAAGTGTCTAAATTGGAGCTCAAACCTGCAATATCTTCAAATGTATTTTACGCTAAAGTAAATTCTAAAGCAATGTTTAACCTTGCTTAGTAGACCTTGTAGTCAGGATAAAAGTTCATACTCGATCCGGCTTAAGCCGCTAGTCTGACAGTTATTGCCTTTTTTCTGCGAAAACATATAAAAGTGCGTGGGTTCCATACAATGTTCCAAACAATCCTTGTGTTCCAGAAAATACTTTGAAAATAGTTCTCCATTCTGTGAAATACAGAAACCCGTGTAAGCTAAATAATTGATCGATAAGTACTAATAAATTTTAGTCATCGGCGTTGCGAGGTAATTTTGATTTATTTTCGAGTTCGAACCTAGGATTTGTTAAAGGACTGCATACCTAACAACAGCATTGAACAATACAAAGTACTGATGACAAACTAAATAATGTGATCGATACTGAAAAAAATGAATTTGAAAGCCCTTCGGAAGGTCTTTTATGTTAGGTTATGACTAGTAATCTTACGTTCTTATTTCATTGCCACCAGATTATAGTGAAAAAGATCAGTAGGCCTCAAAGAAAGGTATGATTATCAAATCAATCAAATTACTTTCAAATCTTTTTATTGCATAACTATAGAGACAATGGTATAAATAAAAAAACGTGTAATGACAAAATCTCTAATGTAAACTTTTCAATCACAGATGTGATTCTCTTCAGATTACAATAACTATTTAGAAAAACTAAACAGAAGGCAAGCAAGGTGTTTCGCTATTTTCAGTATCTGGTATTCCGCTATTTCTGCTGTTTGAAGAAGATAATTTTTCGTATTCTTTACCTTCCAAAATCACGAATTAAGCAGAATTGTTCCTGTGCTATACCTTTAATAAATATTTACTTTCGTTTTTCTGCCTTATCTAATTTATCTGCGCTTACTGACAATATCTGAGCGATTTGCATCGCAACACATAGTATTTCTGCTATGCTAAACGTGAGTACACCTAGTACGATTGGCTACTTGAATACCTCTCTGGAGAAGAAAAATGTACGCCGGCTTGTCACTTTGGTAGCCAATCATAGGCAAATGAGCCAGAAGTATGCACTAAAACTAGAGTAGCGCATTTCGCATTATTCTGACGATGCTCAGAGGGTTGAGGGTTAAAGCTTTTTTCACGTTATTGAGATTTAGCCTATTTTTTGGCACAACATACAATCACAAATACGGCTTCCGCATTCAGGAAACCGTACCTTTTGCAGTCGGCCTAATTCTGAGAAGCCATGAACAAAGCTGACAGCAAGTCAGTATTCATAAAACGTAATTAAGCACTTATAAGCAAAGCCTATTTTGCCTGCACTACACCTGATTGCAACTCACCCACCCGTTCAATGGCAAGTCGCGGCGCACCTCTTCTCTGTTTCTTCTTGTATCTTTCAGTACCAGTTATACCGCGAGTGCTAGCGCCGAGTACCACTGGGTACCGCCGACGCCGAACCTTTAGCAGATTGCCTGTGGACATGCTGTGAGATCGCGAGAAATATGCCACACAGAGATGCCCTGGCAGTTAATGACGTCATCTGCGTCAAGGTTAACCGGAGCTCCTGCATACCGGAACACCCGGATTCTCTATTTCGGAGTACTGCTTACATCAATAGTTGTAAGTTTATCTTCACATTGCATCAACAAACATGCCTTCGGCAGATAGATCTCTTATGCACACAAAGATGAACAAAAACAAAGATATTCTAAACTTAATTTGAACAGTACTGTCCTCGAAATAGCACTTAATTGCAGCTTTAGTTACCTAAACGCCATTACTTTGCTGATGATATACATACGTATGATCTTTGTTAGTAGAACACAATGAGCGTATTCGGCCAACCTACAGCGGTAATTATCTATTATCCAAACCAATAACAACAAAACATAAAACAGTTACAAAGGTAAACAAATTCGGAAGCCGAGTATCTATACAGTGAGTCCTAGATTTGCTTCTCTATACAGGGATCTCGGCTCCTGTTTTACTTACAGCAAAGTTAAATCGATAAGTTTAAGAGAAAATTTAGTGTTTTCGCTAGCCGGCTTCAGATCACCCAATTGGTTTTGAAAATATCAGCAAAAATCGAAAATGGCGGATTTTGTTTTTTGCCAGTGAATCCAAAAGGGTTAATTTTACAATTGTCAAAATGTGACATTATTCGGACATTTTTCTAAGAAAAATAAGATATCATGTATGACATGTCTCAATCGTCTTTTGTGTTCCAGCAACCCGCCACAACTTTCATTTTTCTTATGGCCAATTTATTGGATTTTTGACTTTTGAAAAGTGTGTAAAATTTCCAGTCTAGTGATGTCTCACAAGTGTGTAAAAGATTGGAGTATCACCGAAAAATCATCACAGGTGCAGTTTTCAATCGTATATTAACGCTAATATTGACTTCTCAACAAGTCAAATGTTTTGGGACAAATTCCCAATTACGAGTGTGTTCAAAAATCAAGTCAGAAAAATCGTCATAAATTTATTTTTCACTTGAACAAACAAACATTTTACAAAATTGTAATGTAATGTTAAATCCAATTATGGAAGTGGGTATTACTTTACAGATTTGTAAAATAATGTCCATTTGCATCCAGATATTTTTGACAATTGATGACTGTTTTTCGTACAACCATAGCTAGCGTGTTTCTGTTATTGTTTCTAACTGTGCTCAAAATTACTTGTCTCAGGATTTGTATGGTCGCGGGAGGGTCAAATTCATAAACATCATTCTTTGTGTGACCCCAGAGGTAGAAATCCAAAGGTGAAAGGTCAGGGGATCTAGGAGGCCAAGATAATGAAGCATTCAATAAAATTATTCTTTCATCAAACTGCTCTATTAAGAAGTTCCTGCCTTCAATGGTATTATGAGGCGCACATCTATCCTGTTGAAACCAGGTTCTTCTAAACTTATCTTCGTTTGACTAGCTTATGAAGCCGGCATAGCCTGGTTTAGCAAAAGCTCTAGCTACCTCTGTCGTTTAGGTTGTAGTCAAACAAAAATGGTCCTATAAGTCGATTTCCTTAAATGATTAATAGCTAATTTCAAATAGGTGTCCAATTAAAAAAGGTAAGTTAGATTCGTCAGGGTTTTCCACAGCCAAATGCTGAGTGCTGTGCTTATTAAAAATTCCACAATTAATAAACCTACTCATCGGACCACAAGACATAATTCACAAAATCGGGATTTTCATTAGACTTCCCAGTATACCACTCATAGAAGCGCATACGCCTTGGAAAATCAGTTTCCTTAAGTCCATGAACTATTGTAGACTTATATCGATGGTACTTATCCTTATTTAACACTCTCTATACTTTTGAATTTGACACACCTATTTCTCGTTCTATAGTTCTTACTGATGCACTAGGGATAGCTTGTAAAACGTTCCTGTTGCGATTTTCATTTTCAATATTGTATCCACTTCTAGATTGTTCGAAGGCCCATGGTTCATTGAATTGACTACTATTTGTCTAAACTGGATTTTATGAGGCTGCCGACGTTCGAGATACATCTCCAAGTATCTTGCTGAGGTAATCTCGGCGTATCAGTGTGACTGCAAGTACAGCGCTAACATGTCAAACTTTTACAGACTTATGATTTTAATGAGATAAAACTTACCTAATAATTATTAAAACACAACTTTAATATTCAGGATTATCTAACGTCAATGTCAGAGCCCCCTTAGGCGAAAGAAATGCGTTACTAATTAACTTCATTGACAAATAAATCATGGCCTCCTTAGAAAAAAATTAATACAAAACATTTCTTCCCTTGTGAGACATCACCAGGCTGGAAATTTTACGGTATTCTCAAAAATCGAAAAATCCAATATAACGACAATAGGAAAAATGAAAGTTGGGGCAGATTGCGGGCAAAAAGACGATTGAGACATGTCATATACGCTATCTCATTTGCCTCAAAAAAATGTCCAAATAATATCACATTTTGACAGCTCTCAAATTAACCGTTTCGGATTTACTGGCAAAAAACAAAATTCGACTTTTTCAGTTTTTCGCCGATATTTCCAAAACCAATATCGAATGCACTAAGTTTCCTCTAAAACTGTCCCCATTTCACCTTTGCTGTAGGTATAACAGGCGCCGAGATCCCTTTATAGAGAAGCGAATCTGGGACACACCGTATAGTGGCATATTTTTAAGCTTATCATCAAAAGACTGCATTGGAGTGCATCATTTTAACTGATGGTGCAACATTTTCTATATTTTTTGCCTCAGATGATCTACTGCTTTTGCAGTGTTTAGCGAAAGGCACAAGGAGGCCATCACTTAACCTAGTGTAAAATGAGTGTGTATCCTTATTTAACTCATACCGTAGATGAACAAAGAAGGCAGTGTCAAAATCGCATAACAAGACAAAACAGCCCCTTGTAGCTGTAAGTTGCATTCACCGCGGTCAATCATCTTACAACCCTTCTTTGACAGCTTGAGTCGACTTGTGCCTAGTATAGTCTTAGTAATTGATTTTCTGTCAAAGTGATATGTGGATTTTTAAAACATATATGATTGGTTGTTAGATTTCAAGACCGTATGACTATAGTGATTTTTGAAATTCAGGCACTCGTCCAAGTACTATCCTAGAAATTGGGAATTATCTGAAATGCCCAAATTGAAACTGTTTATTTGTAAATATAGCGGTACAAATTGTTGACATATTGCGAAATCTATCAATGTTTTGTTCAAATTCAGATGAAGGCAGTGATTGGTATACGATTGATTAACTGTACTCGTATTTAATAGTTGTTCACACTCATTGTGTAAGACATGGTTGACCTTCCCAGATACGACAATTGCTGTATCATCTGCATATAAGGTGAAATTCGCATGTCAGAAAGGGTACTTGATTTTATTTGTGTATAATGTGAATAATGCTGGTCCCAAAATTGAACCATGGGGGACACCCAGATCTGTTTTAATCATGTCAGACCTTACTTCTGGAATAAGGTTGTCACTATTTCGAGATTCTGAATAGCAGTCGGCCGTGGAATAGATTTGACAGTTTACAATATTCAAAAAAGAAGATATAAAATCTGACATCAAGTGAAACACCCTGTCAAACCGATAAAGCTGTCATGGCCGAAGCTATTAAGCATAAAAACGTCCAAGATTTTTGTTTTCAGACTGTATAATGGGGAGCTGATAAGTTTAGGAACTGCAACTTCTCAAATCTCAAGCTAGGTGTATTGTCGGACCAAAGCTTTTTCTCCTAGAGTTTTTCTTACTTATATTCTGCTTCGTCTGTTAACCAAGACCTATCCTGAATGATGAGTGCATGATTGCTGTAAATCCGTTCGGAATATCAGTTTTTTGAAGATTTGACTTATACACTGGGAGTTATTATGCCAAAGCTTTGTTTTCCTTAGAGATTTTCATATTTATGTTGTTCCTGTCATTCTTAGAAAGATCTCGTACACGTAGTCTGTGCAAGTCTCTTATTATCCAAACTAGAATATAAGGGATGATCGATTTTTAGTAACGCAATTTTAGAAATGGGATCTTTTAAAAGCCTGAGCTAGTTATTGGTGCATCAAATCGTTAAAGCTTTGTCCTCCTTAGTACTTTTCGTACTAGTATTGGACATCCTATCATCACAGGTTACATTAGAAAACAGATTGAAGAAATGGATATGAATGAAAGCCCAAAAGCTCAACAGCTTTTCTTAAGCATTTTATGTAGGCAGAGCTCCAGTACGTCTGTTTTTCTGTTTACTAGAGGTGCATGACTCACTGTTAATCAAGAAATGGCGTCAAGTAGGTTGACTCTGTATTTTTCACGCAATTCTGGACAAATGGAATTTGTATGCATCATGTATAGTATCTTAGTCACCATTTGTACGTTCTGCTATCTTTATCGCTTGCCAGCTATAAAAATCCTTTTCCCTGGCATATTATGGCCGTAGGTTTTCTATTGGTCAGCTATGGTAACCCTTACAGTTGGTGATGTAGTGTAATGAATATGCTTGGAGAAAAAATACTGTGATCTTACTTTTTTTTGAAATAACCTAGGACAACTTCCTTACGCTCTGATATTATTTGGCTGAGAAAAAGGTACTGAAGTTTATGCGATTCTTCATTCCACAGAATATCTTCATATTTGCAGAAGACCGGTGGATGTCTATCCGATATTTCATACACGAATAATAATTACAGCCCTAATGTCGTCACCCTATCTGAATATTTATATTCAATAAATCATATTACCCTGGTAGTCGCAACTGTTACATCGCCCAGGCATCATTGACCTTTTCTTAGCTGATCTGGTGAAAATCCCAAGAGCGGGCAACGGCTGGTGCACTTTATATACAAAACAATTCATGATTCAGATGGTTCATCACGTTTTACAAAGTCAGTATAATCTAAGTAATATCTATTTTATGATGGTAATACAGAGACGTGTGTACTAGTACGCCATAGTATTGAAAATTCTCAACATTTATTTGTCTTTCAGCTGACTATTTTTTTGTTAACACCTGCTCGAAAAGAACGAACACGAAATTATTCTATTTTTATATTCAGGATCAATTCAACAATGCTTAAGCTTTAATGGAAGAATTTTTAAATACACAGAGAAATATGACTATTAGGCGCATATACTTACTGGCGTTAGAAGTTTATAAATAGGATGCCGCCACAGAATCGCGATATCTCTGCTGCAAACCCCCGTCCAAAATTTTTTGCGCCCAAAATTGCAAAGTCAAAAAAAACGAGGCCTGAGCGATTTTTATTTTTTCGTGTTTGGCCGTTTACTTCGCCACCACTGGATCGATTTGAAAAAACCTTATATCATTTCCGTCCTTGGTATAGTAGTCTAAGAACCTCATCAAAATCTGAGCAGTATTTTCCAAGTTATAGACGGGCCAAGGATTAGCGAACAAACAGACAGACATACGGTAATGAGTGACCTGGTTTTTCACAATGTACATGATATATAACGTCGAAAAAATATAATAACTTATTTTAGAAGTTTTGCGCGATTAGAGTACTTCATCGCCAGTGGGCTTATGAAGTAAAAGAACAAAAAACATGATCGTGACCATGAGCATAAACTAAATATTTTTCGAACTTTATTTCTCTACGTGTAAAAGGGATGACATATTGCTTATGGTATACGGGTTCAATTGGTAAAAATCTTGTTATTCTTACCAGTCCGGAAATTATTTTTCATCAATATTTTGATGACTTGTGCATACAGTAACTCGGAAACCATCAATACTCAAATCTTCTGCCAACAGAGATTTTTCATCGAACTGTTATAAATATGTGTTTTAAAATCGGTAAACATCCAGCAGATCTACCAAACCGGCATTGTCGGAGCTACTAAGTTTCTAATAAATGGTCAAGAGAATCATATAATCATGTGAGTAATCATATCTTTTTCGAATTTGTTAACCTTGAACACTCTGTAGCCTCGAATCCGTTGATATTTAGACCATACCCCAAGGGAGGCTTTTGATTAGATTGTTAATGAGAACAACATACTAAAATTTCAGTTAATTTGACGGGCAGTTACTTGCCATAAAGAATGTGCAACCTCCTTTGTCTCCAGAGTGAGCTCCGTGATATTATAAGAAAGAATAATCTACCAAGGTTAACGTCTTGTAGGTTTTCTCTGAATTCTCACAACCGTGATATCAAGAAACCTTATTTTACAAAAGAACCTGCTGTTTGCCAGTTTGAGGGTACAGTACTTCTGCCATTCTTATCAAATAATCATCCTACAAGTCGTTTATTTGGTTCGGTTGAATCGACCGATCTTAAAAAATCGCACGTCAAAATAAAGAACCTCGAAATACCTTTCAAATAAGCTATCCCACGACACCCCTTTTCATTTAAAAAATTTTATGGGATGGCCCTGGGGGGCTGAGGGTGGAAGGGGGTGAAGTAGTTTTTGGTTAAAAAGTTGTCCCCTTAACAAAGCTTTTGACGTGTCTCGGCGTTTTTTCTTCCAATCAATGGTTTTCGTTAAATACTTAATTAGTACCAGCTCTACCGGAGTTAGCAAGCGGACTAGCTAGTGTACACTTAGATTAGTTTGTCGAAGCTTCATTTAGCATTTTTAAGCAAATTCGACAATAGATTATGCAGATCTACGCTTATACCGTAAACAATCCTTGACACAGCCATTTAATTTTTAACAGTAATAGAATGTAAAATGTCAATTCAGAAGAATATTGAGAAAAAAAAAACAGGACCTTACGTATTATAATATAATAATTTTATAATCAAATAAAGTCAGTAAATAAACACAACTTTTTACTACTATACGGATCAAACACATCTAACACTTTAAGATTGTATAGGCAGATATTTTTCTTTACTACTTTTATTTCCTGGGTTACCAGTTTTGACAAAGCCAAGAAAATACTATAACACAAAAACGGTTTAACTAAGAGCAAAGGTCCACCGGGCCGCTATGACGAATAATGACGAATAGTATACAAAAACGGTTTTGACAACAGAAACTGACGTGATCATTCCTGACATTAATTGTGTTCATTTAAACCTATAAAGCATTCCATGTGAAATTTACCAATTATTTTTTCAACATAAATAAATAGTTCTTATAAAACACGATGACTTGTTACAATAATTACTGTAGCTTGTCTTAAGGTTCGTGTTAAAAACGACCTTGTCAAGGCAGGTTATTACCTTACCTTTTTTGGACTTAATCATTCTGAAAGAAACAATTTATTCATACAAGAGATTATTTGGCGTGATGCATCATTATTATGTACAAGGATGTTTTATAAAGATGTTCATCAATCTGTAGGATATTTGCAATTCATCAACTACTTACTCGACGAACAATAATATTCGATTAACCTCATGGTAACAATCATTTACGGTTAAGCATTAGAAAATGCTTTTTTGTCGCAGGAAAGTAAGGGGTGAAACACAGAAAAACAACTCCTGAATGGTGGTTCTGGTTTTTAACATGGACTTTTATAACTGTCTTAGAGTTAAGGTATCCTATCAGCGCAACATAGTTGAGTTTTCTTTTATGTGGTAAGAGCTTTCTGTTAGTCTCTTTGTAGTGAAAATAAGCGGAACTACAAACGTCCTTGCACCCAGTCCCCAGTCTGTGAATTACGGAAATGACTCGACTTCTATAAATGTTTCAAATTTCAAAACGAAAGAAGTGGGGCCTGACATATTTTAAACGTAAATACGAGAATACTTTAAAGTCTGTACTCTACCACTGCTTTGAGAAAAGTCGAAGTAACAGATATTCAGTATTCACGGTTGATGCACCAGTTTCTTCCTAAAAAATAGCAAGTCCCTTTTTATAGGTAGCACCCAGAAAAAGGTAAGACCTAAGTACAGGCAATAGAACCACTGCAGTAAAGAAGCTGGGGAGAGTATGTTCTTGAAATATGAGATTGAGCATAGGACGATTGATAAGTCTTGAGTTTGGGATTTCATTTTTAATGCCATTTTATATTTTAGCGTCTAAAATGGATCTGAAATGTAGTGCCAGCCAGATAGTAGCAGAGCACAAAACTGAAATCATAAAATTAGTTTGAAAATATCTAAACTGTTGGTTTTGCTACTGCCTCGTAGATGGTGTCAGGATCTCCAATCCCTCTTGACCTCTCTGAATATATGCAACTGAAATAGGCATTAGCTCCTAAAGGATGGAAGATCGTAGACCCATCTATAAGTCAACAGCACAACCAAACAAAGTGGATTTCCAAATTAATATTTGTGTTGAACCTTCCAGAGTACAGTATATGGTTGCTATTTTCCGGAAGAATACGTTAATCAATGCTTGTATACATTTCAAATTTGATGCTTACCATTACGATCCTAGAAACGGTCAGAGATACGAAGTCGGTTATATGGGGGAAAATTTTCACATTTAGATAACTAAGTAAATCGCACATAGAAAGTTTCGGAATGAGTATTTCCGGAGATAAACGAAAGAAACCTAATTTTCCCAAAACCGTTTTTATTTTTCCCTGGCTTGATTTGAGATGGGATTCCAAAATAAAAAGTAGTTTAACAACGCCACTTTTTCTCCTCTCCAAAATAGCATAACTGGAATTTTCAACATAACGTTGTCTTCTCTCCTCAATCATTAACTTTATGTTTTGTTCTAGATGCCATAACAGGTTATTGCACAGTTGAAAAGATTTTTTTAATTCTGATTCCAAAAATGTATAATTTCCACACATTGAGATGTAAGTTATTTGCAAAAATCTAATATTGTCATAGGTGGATTCGAAATTGATAGTTTATAACAGTCTTATCTGATGAATTCACCAATGCTTCAACTTCTGAGAAGTATTCTTATAGGATATTCAGATAATTTGCCCATTTATTGACTATAACAAGCGTGAATTTTAAAACGATGGAGGCGCTCTACATGACACGTTAACCGTAGATGGCACCTAGCAGATTCGCTAAGCAGGATATTATAATGAAACTCAAATTTTTCCTAACATCATCAGGCTGCGTACTCCACGTTAAATGCACAAAGTACACGACCCTCTGTTATGGATACGACGTTAGGATAACGGATGTGATGACGATGTGGATGGAAGTCATGGCCGCCGTTGCTACTTCCATGATGACACCATCGAGACGAATTACACGCAAATACACCCAAAAGTTACTCATGAGCGTAGAAATCTGGATTTTTTAGCGCAACGTGTTTAAGTAATTTTTGGCCAAGAATTCAATTCACCAAAAATTCGAGCAGGCGGAGTCGCTTCTATAGAAATATAGCACTTAAAAATTAAGGTCAAGCCGTTTAGGCCGAATGGAGTACTTTAGAGTGCTTTTAAACCTCGGCCAACACGGACGCATTGATTGTCTTTCATAAAAATTCATTCTTCTCGTTTACTTGATAGACCGACCCTAACGCGACTATAAAAGCGCGACGCGCTTAACGTTCGTATGGCATGTCACTTAAACGTTTTATGACCACGATATCATGAAAATCACGCATTTCGCCTGTAAAGCAATATGTACCAATTCAGTAAAATTCCGTCAAATTCCATTATTTTCTGTTGACATTGCATTTTTGTGCAGAAAGCTAACGATCTGCGTTCACTTTTATTACTGTACCTTTAATTTAATGTCATACAATCACGACAAAATTATCCATACTGAAATATCTTACCGTTAATTGAATATTGCAATCTTTCGTTTAGTGATAGTTGCATTCTTTCGAGCTGATCGAACTGACAGTGATGAGCGGTTCGTATTCTGTCAACTCGAAGCTTCCGATATCGTATCAAGTCATCGTTGGTTGTTAGAGTGGTCCGTGGGACCTTAGTCTTGAGTCACAGTGTCAGTTTGAAAGTCTGTCAGTTCTAGTAACACAGAAACCAGACAATTTTAAGGAAAAAAGGGAGGGAAAGGAGAGAAGGAAGAACGATAGTAAAGGGGAAGAAGATAATCTTTTAGGATAGCCAGCGTTTAGGCATTGTTAAAATCACTTCTGATATGGTCTAAAAATATTCGAGTTTTTCTTTTTGTCAAAATGCTCCAATTTTGGTTCTTCTAAGTTCACGAATTAATTTTGGTTACAGTGCGAGCCGCGGCATTTTGTGCTTGCGAATCCAATATCGTATGAAGGTATGTAATTTTTAACTAGAACAACTAATCAACAAAGGGTTCTATCAAAAGCTCTGGGACTACCAGTGACTAGCTAAACCTGTGTTGATTAGTTAGTTTAGCTGAACATGGCTTTTCGTCAAACGAACCAGGAAGAATCCGAGTTACAGAATATGAAGGTTCACTTCTATCAGATCGATTAATTGCAGCCAATATCAACAAACGGAATGAGATGGAACGCAGCTAACTATTTTCTACTAATTTTCAGTTGTTTTGTATCAAAAATTACATTTATTTGGAGTGATCATTGGCATTGTATGATACCTGTTAGGCCAAAGCATGTTTGACAGTTGAACCGGTTCATCAAAAGGGTAACTCTCGCCCCAATTCTAACTTCAGAGGTATTGTAAATTGTATCTGCATTTTTTAAATTTATGAATGCCAGATTATACAGTTTTATCATTAAAAACAAACTACTGACTAGTTACCAATTTAGTTTTCGAGAAGATTGATCTTCTCAAGATACTGTAATTAATCTGTATAGAAAAATTTAGTTGAAAACTGAAAGATGCCTTCTCAAATATTTACCTTCAGTTGTGGCAACTGGAATTCCAAGAGAAGTACCCTGGGCTTCTTATTATTTATCATTTTCATCAATGATGTCGTATCAACGTGTCCAAATGGAGCCATAATGCTATTCGCCGATGACACTGATGACTTCACTATTGCAGCGGCTACTACATATGATCTTATCAACACAGTTACTAGACCAATAGAGGCCATGGCCCGATATTGCACGGAAAACTGTTTAGTTCTAAACTCATCTAAAACTGCCTTCAACATCACAAAAAATCTCGTACCCTGTTAGTCAGATGCAACAATATAAGAGTACGTCAGTACTCTAATTTTAATTATTCGGACGTGCATATTGATGAACTTCTGAACTCGAACGAGCAAGATGATGTCATTCCTAAGTGTCGAGTCACTGCTATGTTACTTTTCAACTCTGCAGTTCAGTGAGTCTTGAAATTCTCAAGCAGTACTACCTCTCGTACATTCATTCAGTCTTTAGCTATTGCATAGTTCGCTGTGGGAACTGTTCTTCCATTGGTGAAGTGCTGTTAATTAAAAAAAAAAAAAATACTGAAGACAGTCGCTGCTAAGCATTGGTGCTACCCCTGTAGAGAGCAGTTGAATAAAACGACAGTTCGCTCTATTTATATCTACAGATGCCTTGTCTATATTAAAGAAAACATGATTTATTTCTACATAAACAAGAGAGCTATTCAGATGAACTTATACCCCTGACGCAGTCTTCAACTTCAAAAGGGGCCAATGTTATGACTATAAAGTTGTATAACAAGTTACAAACTTGTGTAAAAACCATACGAAATGTTTGTCTTTTTAAGGCAAAGAAAAGGACCATTATATTGAATAACGCTTTCTATAGCATTGAGGAATATTTCAATTGTGCATTTGTATTCATCAACGTTTGTCTCATATTGTGATGTTACGTTAGACACTCTACTTGTTACGTTTGTTTTTATATATACATGATACAGCTGAAATTGACAATTCTGATACTACTAATTGTATAGTCATCCGGAAATAACAGTTACTATTATTAAATAAAGCTAGACTGATCACTAATCAGGTACGAAGGAAAAACTTCTGAACCAGAATTAAAAATTTACAATAGCTTCAACAATTATGTCCAGATACTTTTTGACGTGTATTGAATAATACCCAAGAATTTTGAATATTTATAAATCGTTAATGTCTTTTTGACCTTACACTAATTTTATCAAGTCAACTTAAGAACGTAACATTGCCATATTTGAATACATCCATGCCTTGACAAGTGCTGGGTTTACCTTCTTTGTTTGCCTACTTGGTTTGTTCTAGCTTCTTGCCTATGATGGCTATAAGACATACCTTTCCCTTGAAAAATACGGGAGTAATCGAAAAATCGCAGTTATTTCGGAACAAGCCTCATTAGGAAATGTGAGTCAATAAGTGCAATATCCAATACCCAAGAATTTTATTATGTAATTCAGACATTGGTGTTTTGGTACGAAAATTCGAAGAATTCGACCACATAAAAGTAAATAAAACTGTACTGTTATCTTAATTCCAATCTCGTTTGAAATACTTCGATGTATTGCTACATCCATGTTTAATGCGAACAACAATATGTATTTATGCAGTTGTAGGTATTGTACGAGGATAGAGTTTTAGTTTTTTAATTCTTACATCATATATAGCCCGGGACCACACCTACCGAAAAATAACATATTTTGAAAATGCAAATTCGGCATCTCTGTACAAGGTGACAAGTACATACGTCTATACTGCGCGATGTCCTAATCCGCGCGCCCCTATTGTCCTGCGAGCCATAAATGCCTGGGCAGGCAGCTTGCGAATAGTAGCGGCTATGGAGAGTAAATGAGGTATGAATAAACTCTAGATGTTGTTCTACAGTTTTTCTGAGGTACACCTTCCTCCACTAAAGTTGACCTTGAAAAACAGGACATCCGAATTAGATGCAACTTTCATAGTGGGATGACTGGGAAATACAAAATTGTGCAAATACCTAAAAAATACTACATCTAGGTCTGTATTATGAATTAAAATTCGTAATTGTAATTTTTTAATGAATATTCTGTTCTATCTATGTTTTGACCTCAAACATTAAAATTGTTGCCTGCGTGACGGAGGACACTGCCCTAAACCAGACTCCTTCCTAAAGCGGACACCTGGACTCTTTGGCTCCGCATTTTCTGATATTCCGTTATTGCCAAGTGGAAATAGCAGCTCAGGTATTCATCATGCTATGGTGTGTCTAGATAGTGGAAACAGTTTAATTCCTATATATATGCTAATACGACTGCATAGATATTTTATAATCATTCATTTAGGTGTTTGATTGAAATTTTGTTGGAGCAACAAGATTTCGGTTTCCGCCTTGTAAACAGGATCCCTCCTAGATACCTAAGCCTTCTGTTCTCTTGAAATCTCTTTTCAAGTTCGAAAAGGATAATGGCAAAAAAATAAAAGGAAATGGATTATTTATAAAATGGCCAAAGCAATGGATGCTTTTTAGAATAAGGGGTTGGAACGGAGGAAGACAGGAGCAGGCGACTTTTGTCAGTGCGGAATGTTTTAAATCTATGCTTACTGAAGAATGAAATTATAACTAATTACTGACAAATTTTACTAGGGCGCCAGTTTTGCACCATATTTACAAATTAGGGGTATGTAAGGTTTATTAAAATTACTTTTCAAAGTAAACGTTGTATGTTTTCAAAATGTACTTTTATATATTTTTTGAACTAGTAATGGAAATGCCCAAAAACATCTTCCACTAGTGTTAAAAACAAAGAAGTGACGCAGAATGTCCTTATATATAGGATCCCGAACTATTATTGTTTTCCACTGAGACCATTCTCTTGTCCTGAAATAGAAAATATCAGTTAATTCTTACGTCACATAATTTATTTATATGGGAACCCTTCAATGATTTTTTATTCTGAACGGCGGAGAAAAAATAGCGTTTGCCTACTGGTACAGTTGTCTTTCACATTTGACCAGTTGCTAGTGTCTCTACCTTCTTATTGCATAAGTGATACCAACAAGGACACTGATAGGGCGTATACCTTTATTTGCATTGTATTTACATATATTTGTATTACACCAATCACTTTGTCATTATTATTACATTCCGAAAAAAATATATCGAAGCAAATTGATTGTTATTTGAACCCTTGCCGCCTTTTACGTTCCTCTCACTAGCCAGAAAGCATTCTTTGAGTTCTAGAAATACTGCCTCAACAGAACAACGTCAATTTACACCGTATAACATCCACGCACTCCGAATATTGTCGAATATTGTCGATGACCTCAAATAGATAATGACCTTAGAAGTCATTTGAAGGCTAATTTTACTTCCCATGACAAAACTGGCGAGGTACTATTGTAATAGCGAAAAATTTTAGCACGAGATATTGTTTTTTCGATGTTACATCAAATGTATATTATCACGAAAAACCATGTCATTCATTTCTGTCGGCCTGTCTGTCGGTATATCCGCTAGTTTTATAACCGGCTATAAATTGAGAAGTACCGCTCGGATTTTGATGACATTTTTACACAAAGTTGGATGCCAGGAATGAAAAAGCTTTAGTTTTTGAAAATTAGTCTCGTGGTGGCGGAGCTAAGGGGAAAACACAAAAAAAAAATAAAAACCACATAAACTCCTTTTTTGACGTTTCAGGAGGAATATTTATATATTTTATCAGTATTTGGAGATTATGAGTACGTACCAGTTAAGCGTTCTGCGATGCTTTTGTAAATGAAGACTTAACTATTTTTGTATCTACACAAATATTTTGCTGAATTTTATGGTCCTTGGATGTATCACCCATTTCGTATAATCTTAAATTTGTGTTACTCCGTCCATGATGGTTCTCTGAATATTTTGTCAAGTTGATTGACTCAGTAGTTATGACGCATAGATATTCAATAGACATGGACTGGCAAACCAACATAAATGAGAAACGCGCACGAGTGGGATACAGATATTTTTAAGCAACAGAAAACTTGAGAACCGAAATTCAAAGACTATCGCGAGTTCAACTTTCATCGTTTAGGTAGCCCTATATTCAGAAGCGGTAGAAATAAAATCGCTGAAACATACTGTTACAATGTTTCAGAGAATCCTGCTCATTTTCAGACATTGTTTGGAGAGGATGCAATTTTTAGGCTGGGACGTATATGCGGTAAATGGTTGTAAATTGTTGCTTATTTGGTGTCAGTGAAGGATCCTCTATTATTAACACGCTGCTGATCTCAGTGATATTATGGACCTGTTATACCTATTAAATCACACAAATATTTTCCCTACATCGGAAATGGAAACAGAAATATGATAGATTTGTTTTATATAGTTTTATATGCAGAGGTTAATGATTCATCTTACCCAAGTGGAGACGTAGGAAGTATAGAGTCAATCTACTTGACGT